GTTGAAATTGCTGCTTTGGTTTTTGTTATACATAGTAACAAATTGAAATAATTAACTCAAGAGCTGTAAACAAACAGAGCCAAGCTCCATGGTTTTGAACCTTTGTAGCATCTCATTACAATGCTATACAATGCTAACATTTAGAAGTGGTCTCAGAGCCAAAAATCAAACCTCAGGCACTGCCAGAAAACAGTAGGGAAAAAAAGCTGAGAGTAACGCTTTCCTTTTGTGGCAGGATTTCACTATGTAGCTCAAATTGGCTCATCTTGGGATCTTCTTTCTTAGGCTCCCAAATAGGGATTATAGACCAGTGCTAGTTACAGGTTCAGACCTCCCCTCATTTTGTAAAATCTGACACCTCAGATCAGTGACCTGCACCTGAGCATGTGACTGGCTTCGGCTTCACAGATTTAGGTAGCTGGGCTTTGGGAAAATTTAAGTATTGTCTCTTAGTAAGGAGCAGCAAGGAGCTGATTTCAAAGAAATTTACCACAGGAGCCAGGCCTGGTGGCTCACATAATAAAGCACTTGGCTGGCGGAAGCTAAGGATTAGGAGTTTTCCTTGGCTACACAGCCAGTTTAAGGCCAGCCTGGACCACATGAGACCTTTTCTCAAACCAACCAAATATGTAATTTATTTATGCAAATAGCTTCAACTGACAGAACTCAATAAAATTCAAGGCACACACCTTTAATCCTAGCACTCAGGAGGCTGAGGCAGGTGGATCTCTGTGAGTTTGAGGCTAGGCTGGTCTATGTAGAGAGTTTCAGGCCAGCTGAGGCTGTAGGAAGACCCTGTCTCAAAAAGAACAAAGAAAAAAAATAGATAAAATTTAAAAAATGATCCACATCCTTCTTAAGACTTGAACACTCTCAAGACAGGCATAGTGGCTCATGCTTGTAATCTCAGCACTTAGGAGGCTGAGGCAGGAAAACTGCTGAGTTCAAAGCTGGCTGGGCTAGACAGTGAGTTTAAGGCCATCTTCAACTGTAAGGGACAATGTCTAATCAGAAGACCAAAGCAACTCAGGAGGCAGAGAAAGGCAGATCTCTGTGAGTTCAAGGCCAGCCTGGTCTACATTGTGAGTTCCATTCCAGGCCAGCTCTGTTAAAAACAAAACAAAACAAAACAAAACGAAACAAAACAAAAACCCTACCCTATGCTCTGGTAAAAATAACAATAATATA